CATCTAGAAGAAGAAAAATTACTGTTAGAAGGAGTAAAAAGGTAAATGACCAAATCTAGCATTGAAACTTGTTTATTTACCCTTCTATTATTAATTAGGTTACATTACTACATTTTTGCAGACTAGAGTTCAAACTGAGATCCAAGAAGAGGTTCAAGCTGAAGTGCAGACTGATATCCAAGATGGGGTGTAGGGTGAAGGACAGGGGAAAGAAGAAATGACCCAAAACTAGGAAGAACATGAAGTCATGAAGAGGCACCACTTGCAACCACATCTTCAAGACCACCTAGTAGACCATCTCTATTACCACCTGCAAGACCAAATGCAAGACCATCTTATAGGGAAAGAAAGCAACATGAGAGGATAATCTTGATGAAACTGGGCAAGAATTTTAGTGGAGCAGGGAGCACATCTAGGAAACCTTTGGATTTACAATGATGTGGTTGTTGTCTTATTTAATGTAGGTTATGTAAAACTTACGTCTTTTGGTTGTTTCCTTTGTGGCCCACAACCACCAACACAACTATGGTTACCTTTTGAAAAATTTAAGTATTTTGTCTGTGCTTTTGTTAAGAACATTTCACCTTTTATAATGGAATCAATTAAGTATGTGGTCCACTTACGTGTCTGTGTTTGCATATGCTTCTGTTTGTGGTCCATTCATTTGTTTATTATGACTGGAATCTTTGGTATTGATAATTGAACCAATTTCGTATTCAAAGTACATAAAGTAATGGTGAGGTAATGACAATACATGTATGCCCATCTGTTAAAAGTACTTAAACTGGGAATGACTTCCATTGATAACTTAACCCATGTGCTGTTACATAAGATACATATAAAAGTGTCAACTGTTATGACCCTACCCATAGTGCATGTTATATGCAAAAGATTTCCATACACTAACCATATTTATCTATGATATCCACACTATCTAAAAGCTTATACAAACCATCCTATACACTTCCCAAAACATTATACAAAAGCATCCAAAAAGTTATGCATACAACATACCCTTATCCTACTAACACTGCAACACTTCTTACATGAAACTATTAACCATCATTAAGAACCCACATCCACAAACAAACCCAAAGAGTATTGCTAGTTTGATCTTCAGGTAAACTTTCTCCCCTTGTTTAGTCATCTTCAACACATGTGTAGCAAAGAGTTGTTGTTCCTCCATCATCATAATTTGCATATCCTTCATTTTTGCCTCCATCCTTGCAGAACAACAGTGTACATATCCATTCTCATCCCTTCTCATTTCATTGAGCATGGTATTGTAGTGTGCATACGGTCCTTCAATCTCAGGATCAATCCAATCAAAGTAGTTACATTTTACCCCGTTCAGCTGTAACAAATATACTATCATTCAATTCACATTCGTATGAAGAGTGTTACAATCAACTAAAGTGAGATTTCTTACCATCGAAAATGGACAATTGAAGAACCTCCGAGCTGGATTTGGAAACATCCACGACATTTTCTTATTTTCAAGGTAACAACAACCATAATTGGGGATGGGTTCAGCTGGGTTACTCCAAAGCGAGACTACTTCGGCGTTGACATTAATTGGATCAGTCATCATCGAAGGATCTAGGTTTTATGCTTCTTGCGATAAATTAGGGAAACCTTTATGCTTTTTGCAATAAATTAAGGGAACGGATTTGTGTGAAGTGGCCGATGGAAACCCTCGTTCTTAATGTCGGTCCACATGCCAACCTGGAGCTTACGTGGAGCATACATGGATCTTACGTGGGTGATGGAAACTCTCCTAACTAGATATAAATGGTTATATTCCCTCTTTTAACCCACTATTTGAATGTGTAAGGATCCATAAAAATTAAAAATAGAATAAGGGCCTTTTAAACCCAAAATGAAAAGTATGTGGTTAACACTAGAAATAACCCAAGTTGTAACGCTATGTTTGAAATTACTCGGTTAGGGCCTCGGAAACCAAGGGGGTAGGGGTGATTTGGTCTTTTATGGGTCCCGGGATTTATCCGAAAGGTTTTATGCTTGGAGGTGTTGAGGGGAGCGTAGGGCTTCCCGCCACCTTCTCGTAGATATAAAGTTTGTCAGAAACAGACTTGGAATAAAGGAGTTATGACACTTTGTATTTATTGATGATTTTAGCCCCTAATGGAAAATTAGTGACAAGATGATCCATGCAAGGTGGCCAGCTCGAGAGTACGCCCAACGTAGATAGGGAAATTGGTCGTGGGTGGTTAGAGATGTACGCCCAACATACTAGGAGTACGCCTAGCGTACGCCTAGAGTCACTATACCCTAAATGCTAGGGTGTGACACTATATAAAGAACATTACACCCTCTAGGGTCAGCCTCCTTCTCATCCTTTAACCCCTATTCAAAAACCTAACCCTAATAGTGAGAGTGTAAGCTTGTAAGGCCATATTAGGACTGTATTTTGGTGTTCTTGAAGATGAGTGATCATCTTGGAGTTTAATAGATCAGGGAAGAGCTTTTGGATCCAGGTTCTCTAGCCCATTTGCAAGTCTCAGAAGGTATAAAGCTTCTACCTTGTTATCTTATAGCTTGAGATCTAGATTAGGGCTTGTTTGATGTTTTTATGAGCTTTCGGACTATCTCTTGGGAGTTGAGCAACTCTAGAGCTTAGAGAGAGTAGATCTGAGGTCCTTTGGTCTATCTACTTCATAAAAATGCAATCTTGATGAATATTCTAACCTCATGCATGGATCAAGACCCTTGGAAAGGTCTAAATGGGTTGTTGAGAGCATATGGAGCATGCAAAGGCATAAAGTTGCCAACTTTATGCCTTAAGACGTTCTAATAGACTTAGATCTGAAGTTTGATGTTGGAAATCCCAAGTATTAAGCACTTAATGGAAAAGTAGCTTAACAGGGGAGTACGCTAGGCGTACATGCAAGTACGCATCGCGTACATCACTCCAGTCGGTATGCTTAGCGTACATAAGAGTATGCCCCGCTTACTCATCATTTTTGGGCTTATAGTGTTTTGGGCCTCGGGTTGGGCCAAGCAATGGACTTTGAGTCTTTAGGCTTCAGTGGGCCATCAAGTGTTAGATGTTTTGGGCTAGGAATATGTTTGGGCTTAGGGTAAGACCCATTAAAGGGATTGGGCTCAATTGAGCAAGTTGGGCCATTGGTAGACCACTAGTGGGCTTGGGAAGCCTACCTAGTGTTGGGTTTTATTTTGAGGATTGGGCCTTAGTTTTGGATCGTACTGGGCCAGGGGTAAAATGGTTATTTTACCCCCATGCATGGATTAAGGATTATGGTATGGGCCCCAGTTTCTAATTAGGTATATTGTTTCGGTATTGATGGTCAAGAAGTGGTCAGGGCAACAACTAAGGATTTCTTCAGGAAGCTTCTACATTCGAGGTGAGTTTTTTCACCATACCAATAGGTCTAAGGCACCAAGGCCGGCCCATTTTATGATAGTTGGTATACTTGTCGTGTAGAGGTGTATGACATTGTTATGCATTGATCTACGGTAGAGATGGATTTTACCGCTAATGGTAGAGATAGCCTGTATGGCTAATAGTAGACATAGTCTGTATGGCTAAGGGTAGAGATAGCCTTGTGGCTGATGGTTGAGATAGCTTTATAGCTGATTGATATGTGTATGTAGTAGAGGTAGCTTTTATAGCTAGCATGTTATGTGGTTTATGTGTGGGGTATGCTCTGGGGAACTCACTAAGCGTCATGCTTACATGTTTGTTTATGGTTTCATGTACTTCAGACTCCAAGGGAAAAGCGTGATGGCGCGACGTGCACTCTCTCACAGACTTTTTGGGACACTCTGATGTTTGGAATAAAATTTGTATTTGAATCATGTTTTGAAAACAATTATAACTGGATTTCTTAATGTATGACATCATGTTTGCTTATTCTAAAATGAAAATTTTACTTTCAAAATTGGGTCGTTACACAAGTATATACGAAATTGTTTTTTAGATAGAGAAAATTACACGGATGGTCCCTGTGGTTTGGGTTTTCTTTCACGCTTGGTCCCTAAGTTAATTTTTTTTTAACTCGGACCATCCAAACATTTGACATTTGTTACCCGCCTAGTCCCTAACTTAACATTCCATCAATTTCTTAGTTAGAATGCCCCATGTGCCTTGCACTCTGGGGTATTTTTATCCATTCATTAAGATACTTATTAGCGCCATTTAGAATGCAAAACGTCTACACTATCACAAGCTATTCACACAAATAAGAAAACCTAGAAAATCACCATCCCAACAAAAACCCTAATTGATGTTAAAACCCTACTACGACATTGACGAACAAGCATGGGAAGTTGGAGGATACGTGCAAACATGGATAAAATTGATATTCATTCTAGATACAATATGTTTTAAAACCAAAATTTTTGAATTTGTAATGTTTCCATTCTTTTCACATAAAAGGTTAATGTCAATCTTCTCATTACAAAATAGTTGGGCATCCGACTGTATTTTCCATAAGGTTATACCATGGTAGAAAATTTAATGATTTTCTCGGAAGAATGTATATCAGGGGAAAATGACATTATGTTGACTTACTTGATATCGAAACATTTTCGGTGCATGATATCGATGATATAATGGAAAAATAGGATATGTTGAACTCCACCTGGTAACATAGAAGATATACTATTATTTTCAAAGACCTTTATATGATTTGGATTTTGGTCTTTTTGCTTTCGGTTTTGATGATGATGTTCGCCATTTGGCTTGATATGTTGGTCAACATAAGCTGATAGATGTGTACACGGAGCATGGAGAAACCAAACTACATACATACTTAATGTCCCCCAGTCCATGTAAGGTGTGTGTAATTGAAATTGATCAACATCCTACTTCCTCTAAACGATTGTTTTTGAATTAGCATGATACTATTAAACCCCAAGTTGAACCCTAAATTGAACCCTAAGTCTTACTTGGGCAAGATAGTGTCACAAACCAAGCCAACGACTTTGATCATGACAGTTTTACATCTAATGTGGACATGGAAAGTGCATATGATAGTTTTGGAGCCAATACGAACATGGAAAGTGAACATGATACCAGAAGTGATGATTAACATTATCTTATGGACTAAGATAATATGATACATGATGTAGATGTTGATATGCATGATTTCCACATGAACATTGACCACAATGTTGAATGAGCTGGAGGTGCAGCTATAACAACCACACCTGAAGCCATACAAGAAGATGAAGAACTTGAAGTGCTTGATAATGATGTATTCTTGACTGGGTCTTCATCAGATGAAGGAAATAAGGGTCAACGTAGGAAAACTATCAAAGCTATACGAAGGGCACATGCTAATGAGAATGTCCAGGTTAGTGACCTATTCTATATACATCAGACCTTCAATACTTCAAAAGAATTCAAGGACTTGGTGAAACTACATGCAATAGATACGAGAAGGGAATTAAAGTTGGATAAAATGAAAAAATAGGGCGAGGGTTGTGTGCATGGGAACCATACCAACTCTAAGTGGTATAGGAGCTAGCGGGACTAATCAAGAAATAGCCAATGAAGAAAATAAATGCCCATAGACTATTTATATTAGCAAATGGAATTGTGACATTAAGTGGAGTGTTAAAACATACATCAAGGAACATTAGTGTCTTCAAACAAGGGTAGTCAAACAATGTGATTACAAGTTTCTAGCAAAGGATTTTCTACAACAGGTCGAAACAAACCCCCGTGTTCCTATTTGGGCTTTAAGGGAACAACTCCAATGTAAGTATAGGGTTTACATTTCTAAGATGAAAGCATTTAGCGTATAAGAAGCAACTTTAATAATTATGAGGAGTGATTATGCTATTTACACCTTATTACATGATTACTTGTTGGAGGTACAAAATCGTAACCCAGACACCACTATCATTGTTGATGTCGAGAGTGAACCCAATCCAGATGTTGATACAAGAATCTTCAGGCGTGTGTATGCCTGTCTTGGTGATTTGAAGAAGGGATTTGTACCAGGAAAACAAGACTTTCCAGGTCTTGATGGCGCCTTCATGAAAATACCATATCCGGGTCAAATATTATCTATTTTGGCAAATTTTACATTCCTTACGTTTTGGTGCTTTCTATGTTTATATGTTGTTAATTTTATTTCTCTCATAAGCTTTCGACAGTAATAATGGTGTATATCCCTTAGCATATGCTATGGTAGAATCAGAGACTTTAGATTCCTGGACATAGTTTTTAAGTCATTTATGGGATGATTTAGGTTTAACAACCAACTCAAATTTCACATTTATGACTGATAGACAAAAGGTACTTGCAGTTCAATTGATTTCCATGGTATTATAATTTAATTACTAACACTAGTTGATGTTAAATACAAGGTTTGCTACCAGCGATTGCAAAACTATTTCCTTGTGCAGAACACTGATATTGTCTTCGTCACATACATGAAAACATAAAATTACGTTGGGGAGGACATAACTTCAAGGACATTCTTTGGTAATGCGCCATAATTGTAACATCCCAGAGTTTCATAAAGGTATGGAAGAAATGCGAAAGCTTAATCAGGACTTCTCTGAGTGGTTGAATAAGATACCACCTCAACATTAGGCTCGGTCCTACTTCACAAGTTTGAAACATTGAGCTAATTTTATATATTTAATATGTTGTAATGCTATAATTTGGAAGTATGTATTTATATGGAGTTGATTTTCATGACAGGGAGATCACATTGTGATGCTTTACTTAAAAATTTATATGAGTCTTTTAATAGTAAGTTTGATGAGGGGAGTGATACACCTATTATCACATGCTTGGAGTTCATCAGAGAGTGCACTGTGAAGAAGATTGTGAATGTGGACAAGATAATTGCAAAAGCTATAGGCCCTTTGACTCCAACAACCACCAAAACATTGGAAAAAATCAAGCTTGAGGCAGAAGAGTATATAGTTACTTATTGTGGTAATGGGAAGTACCAAGTTGGTGATCCTTGGAATGACCAATGTGTTATTGATGTGCTTCAACAACTATGTTCTTGTAGGAAGTGGGAATTGACTAGAATGCCATGCAAATAGAGTATTGCTGCAATTTGGGGCACGATGAAAAACAACAAAGAGGTGGGTATTCTAGAAACCTTTGTTCATCCATGCTATTGGTTAACAACATGGAAGGAAATGTATTCCTTTAAAATTGAACCAATCAATGGAAGGACAATGTGGGTGAAGTCTCTTTGCTCAATTACTTTGTTGCCTCCAAAACACCATGCCACAATAGGTAGGCTAAAAAAGAAAATGAAGAAGTTAGCTTTGGAAAATGAGGATTTGGTGAAAGGAAATAAAGTCTCAAGACCCTATAAAACAGTTACATGTACCAAGTGTAACAATACAGGTCATAATACGACGACCTGCAAAGGGCAAAGACTAAATGTTGGTAATGATGGTGGAAAGGCTAGAGAGAAAGACAATGGCAAAACAAAATGGAAGGAGAAGGGCAAAACAAAAGGGGAAAAAAGGAAAGGGAAGGGAACAACTGGAATTGGAATTTGGTTATCTTTTGGATTTCTTTTCATGTAATGTCAAGTATGCTGATGTTTAGGTAATTGTTATGATTGTAGTGTGGTTATAGTATACTGATCTTTTGGTAATTGTTATGGTTGTAGTGTGGTTGTAGTACACTAATCTTTTGGTAATTGTTTTGGTACTTCAAATGGTTATGTAATTGATAATTAGGTACTTATTATGGTTATAGTATGGATTTTAATGGTTATGTTATGTTATGTTACTTTTCATGGTTTTGGTTTAGTCATTTTGATGCTTTTATAATGGTTGTGTTATGGGATGATAATAGCAACTTAGTATTAAACATGTATTAACCAAAACAATTATATATCACAACAGAAAGTACACACTATAACACCATTTTCATTTATCCAAAACAATTTCATTACAAAAAACACTACTACATAGCCTAGAGGTGGCAAAAATTGACACGACACGAAACCTGACACGAACCCGACACGAAATAAACGGGTTTGGGTAAGATATTTCAACCCGTTTAAATAAACGGGTTGACACGACACGACACGAAAATTAAATGGGTAAGGTTAGGGTTGAGAATTTCAACCCGAATATGACTCGAAAATGACCCGTTTATTTATATGCAAATATTTTTGAATTATTTAAACAAACTAGAGAGATACAAAATCAAAACCATAAGTAAAGAAAGCCTTCGAATTAAATTGTTTTGTAATGTTGAAATGACTTAGCCATCTAGATCAAGACTTCATTTCAATTTTTCATTCTCTCTCAAACTACCCAGTCTCTTTCACCACTCTCGCATCCTCATGACCTTTGTCATCCGCCTCCCCAACTCCCACTCTTTTAATTTTTTCATCTGAACTTGCTATACCTTCAACTATTTTGCCTCTAAAGTATTAGCTTTTCCTTTCTACCTACCTAACTCTTACTCTTTCAACATGCTCAATCTTTTAACCTCACATGACACGACATATTTCCAGCTATAGCCCTAACCCGAAACCCGACACGAACTCGACACGAAAATAAACGGGTTAACACGACACAACACGTTAATTAAATGGGTCGGGTTAGGGTCAAGCACTTTCAACCCGTTTAGTGTTTCGACACGACACGAACTCGACACGACACGACACGATTGCCACCTCTAACATAGCCTAATACCATACCAGACTATACAAACTAGATAAATCTAGTACCAGAACAGAAAACACAAACATGATAAAGCTAGTACATTCTAGTTACAACTTGTACACAATAGTTACCCAAAACAGAACCCAACTCAATATTAAGCATAACTTCAATGATCGATTTTGTCTTTACAACTCCTTCATGTTTCGTTTTTTAATTTCAGCTTTATGCTCCAACAATACTTCATCCACCCAACCAAGAAAGCCATCTCCAGGTCCCTGATACAAAAACTAGGGTTACGAACGAAAAAAAAAAAAACAAAAAATGAGAAAAGATTCTATCAAATTGGGATAGGTGTAAAATTCCATTCGTGGGTTCTTCTTTGTGGCTGATGTTCGTATTATTGCTTCACATCTACAATCACATTCCAGTGTAGCTGCAATTTCGCTTTCCGGAACCCTAATTATCAATCAATTACAAAAGAATGACAGAAAGAGGGGAAAATGAATGAGAAAGGAAGAAGAATCGTGTATTAAACCCATTGAAATATGAATGGATGAAAATACCCCAACATGCAAGGCACATGAGACATTCTAACTGAGAAATGGACAAAATTTTAAGTTAGGGACCAGGTGGGTAATACATGTCAAACGTTTGGATGGTCCGAGTTAAAAAATTAAGTTAGAGACCAAACGTGAAAGTAACCCCGAACTATAAAGACCATCCGTGTAATTTTCTCTTTGAGATATAATTATGCATATCTAGTTCATAAGTCATAAGTGAAATAACATTAAAATAAAATAAAAATACGGAAATTAGTATATCCTAAAAACACCCTCAAATTTATAAATATTTACATGGATGGAAGGCTGCCACTTAAAATAGTATTTTTTTTTTGTCAAATTCTTGTTGTAGGCAATTTATATTTTTTACATACGCTAGCAACTTAATTTTAGTTTCTTCAACTTTTAGCGATTTACTAGAAGTGCATTGTTATTTTGATAACTAATAGCCCAAAACGAAAGAAATCATTATACTAATTTATATACATCGCCTCTACATTTAACTTATAACTTTAGTTACACGTAGTAATTAAACTTATAGTTACGTCCAAGTTATGTTCCATCTTTGGAAAGACCATGTGAAGTATATAGTAACATTTTTAAGGAATAAAGTTGTTTTTACTTTTTTAATATTGAGAATGATACCAAAAACGATTATAAAACGATAAGTATGTGGCTTTAAAATGGTAGGTTGGACATAAGCCTTGAACAGTTTTCCTAACTTACTTTAAATACTATTTTATTACATTAGTTTTTTTAGATTTTGATGCCTAATTGTCTATAGTATTAAATTATTAATCATTCGGTTATAAAGAGCGGGTGAAAATATGATTTATCGATTTCTGAAAGTAGACGATTATCTTGAAAGTGAACTTGGGAAGAGATTACTTTCTCGATTTCCATTTTTTCTTTATAATTATTTATTATTATTTTTTTCTTACTACTCATTCTTTTGATGTGATTTCAATACCTTTTGGGAATGCTAGGTGGTAGTGGTTGCTTTTGAACTCTAATCACATTTCATACAACTCAAATTCTCTGAGTTCTTCTTTTCAATCGTTTCTAAAGTGTTTCTATCACTGATCTAAATCTTTTTTTTGACATTTGTATAACAAATTTCCCTTATTTTTTCAAATTTCTGAATTGGGTCTCTTGAATTTTAACTAAAAAAATCCAATCTTGGTGGGGTTTTCTTGAAAAAATCTTGTGTAGTTTTGTACACAAGTCAACATTCAGTCTCTTCTGGGGTTTGCTAATTTCATCGTTTTCTTGGTTTTCAATCATACCAAGTTTAATGATTTTTAGGGTTTATTGTGATAGATGAAAAATGTATAAAGTTCGAATCTTTTCACATGCGGTTTGTTAATTTCATTCTTTTCTTGACTTTCAATCACTAATTTCATCCAAAAGTTTGGCGTTTTGGATACAAATTTGGGGGTTTTGATGATACAAAGTGTGAAAGATGAAATCTGTTGATGAAAAATGTATAAAGTTGGAATCTGGGCATGTTGTAGAATCGAAGACGAACAACACTGGATGTTGGAATCGATGGAGACTAATTGGCAGCTGTGTTTCTTCAAGATCTAAAGTCGAAAACTCCATTAGTGGCATATCAACTCATTGTGGTAAACCAGTCTTCAGTTTCCCCTCAAAATTTCACAAATTGATCAAACAATTTACCTAAATTTCTCTGTTTTTATGTACAAACAGTGGAAAGCAAGCTGAAGATTGATGAACCAGTTGTTCCGATAGTTTCATCGACTACAAGTAATAACGAAAGCAATCCATCGACCCCAAAACCGGAAGATGAGCTGAAACTTGATTCTAGGCTTCGGATATTTGGTTTCAATGATCTGAAATTGGCTACGAGGAACTTCCGACCAGAAAGTCTTCTCGGAGAGGGTGGTTTTGGGTGTGTTTTTAAGGGGTGGATTGAAGAAAATGGAACGGCGCCGGTGAAACCAGGCACCGGACTTACTGTCGCCGTGAAAACCCTGAATCACGATGGGCTTCAGGGTCATAAAGAATGGCTGGTTTGTTCATTGTTGTTGCTTTCTATTCTAATTTTTTTTTTTTTTTTAATCTTTTGGTTTTCTCATGATTTATATATTTTTATTGTTTAACAGGCTGAAGTAAATTATTTAAGTGACCTCATCCATCCAAATTTGGTTAAATTGATCGGTTATTGTATTGAAGATGATCAACGGCTGTTGGTTTATGAGTTCATGCCTCGAGGAAGCTTAGAGAATCACTTGTTTAGGAGTAAGTTACTATTTTTAATGATTTAGAGGGTATTTATGTCTTTAGCACAAGAGTGAGATCGAGCCTCCATTTTGGATGTAGGGATGAAAAGGGTATTTACGTTTTTGCACAAATAACAGATTTGAGTCATGTTTCAACTTCTTGATTGAATTTCTCGTATTGCCACCGCACTTTTTCGGTGGACAAAAATTGCAATTTTTGTCTCATTGACGTCAGCTTCGGTCAAAGTCAAACACATTACAACTTGTTTTGTTATACCAACGTATATAATATATATACCAATTTGGTATTTGTTGTTTCTAATATAAGTCTATTGTTATTGTAGGATCTTTGCCTCTTCCATGGTCTATTAGGATGAAAATTGCTCTTGGTGCCGCAAAGGGTCTTGCTTTTCTTCACGAGGAAGCGGAAAAACCGGTGATTTATCGCGATTTCAAGACCTCGAATATTTTATTAGATGCGGTATGTGATACAAACACTAATCAAACTATCTTGTTTTCTTGAAGTTTTTAATCTCGGGTTTTTGGTGTTCATAAAGATTTGTTTTGTAGGAATATAATGCCAAACTTTCGGATTTTGGCCTTGCAAAAGATGGCCCCGAGGGTGATAAAACTCATGTATCAACTCGAGTCATGGGAACTTATGGTTATGCAGCCCCCGAGTATGTAATGACAGGTTTGCCCTTTAACCCTTTTGTTAGCCATTTTGCACAAAGAAGTAATATTTGACCTAATTATTTTGTGTTTTTGTATATTTCGTTTAGGGCATCTTACTTCAAGGAGTGACGTATATAGCTTTGGAGTCGTTCTGCTCGAAATTTTAACCGGTCGAAGGTCAATGGACAAAAACCGTCCAAACGGTGAGCACAACCTCGTAGAATGGGCCCGCCCACATTTAGGAGAGAGAAGGCGATTTTATAAGTTAATAGACCCTCGGCTCGAAGGTCATTTCTCAATAAAAGGAGCCCAAAAAGCCGCACAACTAGCAGCACGTTGCCTCAACCGTGACTCGAAAGCCCGACCTCTAATGAGTGAAGTTGTTGAATGCCTAAAGCCTCTGCCAGCCCTTAAGGACATGGCAAGC